TTTTGGTCACATCAGTTGGACCATTTGCTTAGATTACATCTATGGCAGAATGTGCTATAGCCCTGCGGCAGCGATCCGCGGGCTATAGTACTAGAGCTAGGCTGAGAGTAGCTCTAGAACTATAGCCCTCCGCTCCGCCGCAGGGCTATAGAACATACTATGGTAATTTCCAGGGAGTTAGCAAAGACAACTTTTTGCGGTTAATAACTTCTTCGGTACGCCAAATAAAGCACATTCTCTGCCGCATAAATGTCTTAAGTTACTATAAACACTACAAAATATAGTACAATTAAACAGCAAACTATCGCATAAATGTTGTACTTGCTATATTACTCGTCGACGAAGATTGTTTATCAACTTTCAATCGCCATTTTTCGTTGCGCAGCGCTAGCGCAGTTCCGGCGCTTGTGAGCGGGTACAATGTATTTCCAAATGGAGGGGTGGGCAGGTTGCACGCGGTTGCAAACCGCCATTTTTCGTTGCGCAGCGCTAGCGCGGTTTGCAACCGTGCGCAACCTGCCCACCCCTCCACTTGGAAATACATTGTCTTTGCTTACTCCCTGGAAATTGCCATAGTATGTTCTATAGCCCTGCGGCAGAGCGGGGGGCTATAGTTCTAGAGCTAGGCTGAGAGGGTCTATGTCCCCCGGTGTACTGCCGGAACGTACCTACCCTGGGTACGGTCCGGTATACCGGAACGTACCCTGGTACGGCGCAAATCCACTTTAGGCACCTTAGGTATCACGAAGTGATGCACAGATTTCTGTGTATCATCAACAGATGCACAGACTTTTTGTATATCAAGAAATGTATATCTGAGAACAGATTCCATGGAGCTAACGTGGTCCTACGACAAAGTGGCAGAGTTGATCACTTTGTGGGAGGCAAAGCCCTTATTGTACGATATGTCCCTGACTGAGTACAGGGACAGAACGAAGAAGGAGGCCGTGAAGGTTTTGATGGCGGCAAAGCTCGGCGTCACCGGTAATTGACCGGGGAAAATTGATAAACAATACACGCGTACTGTAGGCTTAAATTAAGCACTAGTACAAAAATACAAGTCGCTTCGCTACAAGTCGTCACGATCCCGTTTTATTTGTACTAGTGGTGTTTCGATTAATCAAGTTTGTCGATCATTACTCGTTTGGGCTGCCGAGTTGATTAATCGAGTAGAAAATCGGACGACCGAGTACAACTCGAACTTTTTTTTTAACATTTTTTTTTCAGAATGTTACATAAACAGTTTGTAAGTACATACCTATACACATACCACTTTGTGGTACATAGACTTGTGAAGATTAGTCTTGCTATTAGGGATCATATAATATCAAGAGCGTACATAAAGAAGTAGGAACTCGCCGTAAAAAATCGCGTGATGTGTCCACTCGACTCGCGCGATAGAATCGGGCGATATTATCGGGCGATAAAGTCGCCGGATTAAATTGCCTAGTGTGTCCCTTTAGGGAGTTAGGTATCACGAAGTGTGTTAGGGTTAGGGTTCTAGGGTTTTTGCATCATTCCTTGATATACGGAAAGTCTGTGCATCAGTTGATGATACACAGAAATCTGTGCATCAGTTGATGATACACAGAAATCTGTGCATCACTTCGTGATACCTAAGGTGCCTAAAGTAGATTTGCACCGTTGGGGATGATGATTGCGAAAGTATTGTTGTTGATGGTGATGGTGATGTATTTTGTATATAATATATGTATCTCACTGTACTGGGGGCCTAGATACATTGAAGAATAAATGTAACCGAACAATAGGCCCCTATAGTTGTTGGGTTACAATATTGCATCTACTGGGGACCTATTCTTAAACCAATGTTGATATAACTTAAGCCACTCTTGTCCAACCAGTCTGCAAAACGTAAATATTTTTTAGGATTTATAGTCACACATGCTCACTGTACGTATTACACTCAAAATTTCACGAGATGAACAGAATAAACAACAAATTTGAAGCCACTATTAGATCGTGATGTGATATCTCGAATTGTCATGAGTTTAATAGCTGAAACTGAAATACCAGTTGTACGCACAGACACTTGTGTGATTTCAATAATAAAATTATCAATGGTAAATAAACACATTGTATTTGGGCCATAAAAAAATATTGTTTGTTCGCCCTTACCCGTCCGACCCGCGAAAAAAGGGGCCGACTAAAATTTTTTATTGATTTTTAGCTCATCTGACGAAGTCAGATGCAGCTTGTAGAATCGCATGATCGTCCG